GCCTGAATCTAGGATGTGAGACGTGTGAAAACTTTTGCAGTTCATCACTTTGATCTTCATAAAAATCGGGCTCTTGCTTTTCTGCAAAATCCAGACATCTGTGTATGCAAGACTCAGAATTTGGCAGGACGTCTTTATACGTGAATTATATAGTTTTTATCACGCAGGAGGATATTACAGAGGAATGCAGCAAGAGTTTCTTGTCTTATTGGATAGCTTTCTCTTGAGGTGTATTGTCTCCTGGATTTTGATCTGAATGTGTATCTGATTTCTTTGCAGTTTCTCAGCACCCTCTTTGCCCCTTTAAATTTTGTGATGGAAAAAGTGGAAAGCATCCTGCCCTCCAGTCTGTGGCACCAGCTGACGAGGATCTGAGGGAGCACGCCTGCTGACTGACTGCCATGACATCTTCTGTGCCAACTTTTTGTTGACCACAAGAAAGCATGATAAAAAAGGGAAGCAGTTCTAAGACTTAAAAACTCTTCATGGATTGTCTGTTCTCATATAAAAACTGTTTTGTTGTACAAAATACATTGATGTTAGGTTCTATTATATTTTGCCTTCAGAAAAGAAAAACTTAAAAATAAACTTTTGTGTATTGCAGCATTGCTGTCTTTTGGCTTCTTCTTCAAAGCTCAGATTGCACTTTGTGTTCTTAAACATGTGTGGTGTATCTGCTTCGCCACAGCTAGGGCTAGGCTTTCCGTTCAGTTAATGAAAAAACACTAATAACTTTACAATTAAGCAACCGTATCACTGCCATTTCTGACGAAGTTCAATTAGGGTCAAGTCCTTACTGCTACAGACAGTCTAGACAAGGCTTCTAGACAGTTAAAGCTCTTGTTTAAAGCAGCTTTAGGTTCTCCAGGCATTTTGGATGGCACACTGGGCTTCTGATTCCGATCCCTGCACAGAGGTCAGTTGTATCCTTATTTGAATTTTCAAAAAGGCCATGTAATTGACAGGTTTTCTTCACACCACTGTTATTTCAGGTACCTCCAGAAGCTCCGTGCTTTGTTCTCTGTGTACACAACAAAGCACAGGTAAGTAATGGCAGAGAATTGAAGACAAACGGACCTGTAGTGAGTGATCGTTGCGTTCATGCTTTTACATATTTCTTGCTGAGTTTTTATTGCATTACGAGTGTTTTTCAAGTATGAAAAAGCAGGTACTTTTTCCTGTACAGATTAAACATCAGCATTATAAACCGCTGCTTGAGACCAGAAGCTCGTTAGCAAAATTGGTGTTAGTTCATGCACAATTAATAGAGAAGTTGGTGTTTCGTCAGTAGTGCTTACCTCAGGAAATCTTATCCTTGTGCTGTGACAGGTTTAGACAAACTATTCGTTTATAACTTAGCCACTGTAGATGGAAACTTCCTGCAGATGCCTCCGCTTATGCACAAGGCCAGCTCTAAGATCAAGAATGTGATCTGGAAGTTGAAGCAAGTAGTCCTGTCTGTCAAGAATTGAAAGTGCCTCCTTACAGATGCCTCAAGGATTATTTTTTTTTCGACTCCTATCCCAGGTAAGGAAGCATAAACCCAATGCAGCAGATCAAAAATGCCACTTTGCGGGTTCAACTTTGCTATTCTTCTAAAACTGCTGGGCAGCTTGAGGGACTGTGATCCCCAAGCAGATAAGTTTGTTTATCGGTGAGGAAATGAGTGAGCAAAGACAAACCGCCCGTTATTGGAGTTGGTATAAAAGGGATGTGTTTCTTAACAGCAGGAGATGCATTACATTGTCTTTTGCCCTCTTGATCGCAGATGCGCTAGTCGACGTAGAAGAAAGATTTTTGTGCAGGCGAGCAATGGTACTGCATTAAGGCAAACACCACTGTGCCATGAGGAAAAAAGCCCCACAGCAGGAGAAACCAACGGTGAGAATGAGGCCTGAGGGAGGACACAGAAGTTCAGAGAGCCCCGTGGCTAAGTGTTAAAACTGGTGAGGTGTGTCGCCGTTGGGGATTTCCGTACAGTTTTTTTTTCATCTCTGGCCATTATTCCCGCAAAACAATTAACTGTAATGTTGAAATGAGTGTGGCTTACATTTGATGTGGGATGTGGCATAAGATTAGAGGTAGTGGATTGCCAGCGGACAGCTTGTGGAAGTGTGACATGGGCCACTAGTTGTGTTCTTGGTTTTGTACCTGAATTGCTTGAACAGCCACAGAGGACACCTTTACAGTAGGTGCTCCTGTGCATCTCTAGCTCTGAAACTAGGGATAATCATATTCATTCATTTGCCTCACAACGGCACTGTCACAATTATTTAAGGTTGGTGAAAACCAGGCATAGTCCTGTGCTGCTTTGTGTCGTGTATTCTCAGCTACCCCAAAAACCTTTCAAAGTTCACTTATATATACCCTACATTTCAAAAGAACAAATTGCTGTGATTAACACTCCTAATATGTAAATGTGTTTGCATAGCAGTGTATGTCTAGCTATATACAAATGTCCATATTTGTCAGTGACTAAGGTAGTAGTTTGGCCTTCTGTTAAAGGAAGAGATAATGTGAATTATGATCTGTTTGGGAATTACTATCTGTAATAATCCGATAAAAAAGAATGCTTAACTCCTGGAAGAATCAGATTCTTCCTTTGAACTGTGGGGTACTTTTAGGAACTCAAAAAATATCTTTATGCAAGTCTATTTCTACTATTTCTAGTATCCATCTCCCTTATAAGCAGTAATGAGCCATGGATTTTATCTGAAAAATATCTCTTTAGCTTTAATTCTAATTCTAGGCATCTGGGAGACTAAGCAAGTCAGACAAAGGGATTTTCTTTCTCATCGGGCAGAGTTTGTCGCCTTAGGCTTTTCTGCCTCTGACATGTTTCCTGTGAAGTTCAGCATGGCTTAGATCAAAAGGCAAACACAGCCCGTGATTATAATGACGGAAAACCTCTGGCTTCGCACAGAGATGAGCCTTCTGGAAATCTGGTTCAGATAATAACTCGTCCAAATCTTCAGTTTGCAGATGTGGGGGGTGGGGGAGCTTTTTAACTCCAAATGTTAACAGTTCCAGTTTTTTTCTTTGAAGACAACCTAATACAATTTTAGATGCACGCTCTCTCTTCACACTATAACCTGCATAGAACAAGAAAGGAGAGAAGCCCAGGAGTGTCAGGTAAGCCAAGCTGACCACCTCTGGCCCTCCCACCGGGTAGATTTACAGCTGCTCCAAGGCGAGAACCACACTCGGAGAGGTGAGTGCTGCATTCAGGGGACGGCTGCCGTTTTCTCTGGTTGTGAATCGTTTGCTGTGATTTGGTGTAAACACCAAATACACTGACTGTGGTTTTTCTTTGGGGTAGCACAGAAGTCCTTACCCCAGTAGCAAGGAAGAAAAAGTATCAGGAGTTTTCCTATGTTGCAGAAGCCCACAGAAGGTCAACAGCGAAAGGATGCTGCACTCCTCACACACACCCCTTCGCACCCACTGTGGCTGTCACCGCACGGAGGGCTTGAAAACCTCAGTGGCTGTAGTTAAGGCAGAGTGTGCAAGGTAGCCCCCAGCCCCATGTGCCACCCAGCTTTCTGGGGGGCTCCTGCCCGGCTTCCACCAGCGAGGGAGCAGAGAGGCACCCCTGGAACAATGGAGGAGGAGCAGTCAATATACTGATTTATAGGCATTTGCTTCTTTCACACAAGAGATCTTACATTATGAAGTCACATCCATTTAATCAAGCGAATGAGCCATTATACAAAAAAAACCCCAAACCCACGTGTTTGTGATTGCAGCCCATAAACTGACGCTGAAATTATTATTTCAGATAATAATACAAGTTAATTTGTGTCATTTGAAGTGGCAGAAGAAGCCTACAGGCTCTTATACACAACCACAAACCCACCTCTGCCCTCAGAGGTGGCCATCACCTGCACATGAAGGCTGTAGCCCTTCCTAAGAGTGTGGGGCAAAACCCACAGAGGTGAGCAAACATGGGGATGCTTCGTGCTGCCACACTGGATTAACAGCTATTTTTTTCCTGGTGAAAGCATTTCTCCCCAGCTCAAAACCTGTCTGACCTTCACTAATCCCCAGTAAAACATTCATTTCCCCTTTCCCACCATTCGCTGAGTCCCGTGAGAGGCTGGGCACGAAGCCTGCAGGTGTGATTTGAGCATCCAGGCTGGATGCCCTTCAGCAGCTGTGCAGCACAGTAGCAGAAATGCGGTATTTTATTTCTAATTCACGCCTGCAAAGGCAGTTACACAGGGGTGGGAGGTGAGGGTGAGGTGCACAAATTGGGTTCAGGTAGTTTTGCAGGAAAATGATGATCTGAGGGCTGGAGCACCTCTCCTATGAGGAGAGGCTGAGAGAGTTGGGGCTGTTCAGCCCGGAGAAGAGAAGGCTCTGGGGAAACCTTATTGCGGCCTTCCAGTACCTAAAGGGGGCCTACAGGAGAGCTGGGGAAGGACTTTTTACTAGGGCATGTAGCGATAGGACAAGGGGAAATGGCTTTAAACTGGAAGAGGGCAGGTTTAGATTAAACATTAGGAAGAAGTTTTTCACTTTGAGGGTTGTAAGGCACTGGAACAGGTTTCCCAGAGAGGTTGTTGAGGCCCCATCCCTGGAGGTGTTCAAGGCCAGGCTGGAGGTGGCCTTGGGCAACCTGATCTAGTGGGAGGTGTCCCTGTGTATGGCGGGGGGTTGGAACTCGATGATCTTCAAGGTCCCTTCCAACCTAAACCATTCTATGATTCTATGAAAAAAAGAAGCAACACAACAATCTCTAGAGCTGCAGTACCCACATGCCCTAACATACACTGCCATTCCTCAGTCATTCCATCATTCCCAGTCTTTTACCTCATTTTCACAGAATCACAGAATCACAGAATGGTCAGGGTTGGAAGGGACCTCTGGAGATCATCTAGTCCACCCCCCCCGCCAGAGCAGGGTCACCTACAGCAGGTTGCACAGGACAGCGTCCAGGCGGGTTTGGAATGTCTCCAGAGTGGGAGACTCCACAACCTCTCTGGGCAGCCTGTGCCAGTGCTCCACTACCCTCAAGGTAAAGAAGTTCCTCCTCATGTTAAGACAGAACTTCCTATTTTCCATAAGGTAAAAGAAAATTACACTTTTATTTCATGTGTTTTCTCCTAAAACAGCCCAACACACTTTTTAGGGTTAATTTTGTTAAAAAAAAAAAATAGTGGGGAGGGAGCAATCCCAAAAAAGCTTGGCAGGCTATCAGCATTTCAGAATGCTGCTAGATTCTGATTTCATGCAGCAAAAGGGAACTCCCTCAAGAAAATTGGACCGCATATTTAAAAAAAAAAATTAAATCCTATGACCTTTTGCCTCAGCTAACATTATTCTGACACTAAAGTGTCTACCTAGGGACAGCTGTTTCCTCTTCATGATTAAATATATGAATAAATTTATTCCATGGAACAAAATACAGGATTATTTCATTTGCCTTGCCTGATTTCTGTTTCTTCTTTGCCCCCTCCCCCCCAATTTTTTTCTTTATTTGATTAGCTGAAGGTCGAGGAGGTGCTTTCCTAGCAATATTTACATCGCTGAGCATCTTTTCCCACCGAGAAATAGCAAAAGCTCCTGGGAGTGCTTTCTTCATGGAAGAGGCAGCAGAAATGCTTACAGCTGTAAGAAGCCTACCTTGAGCTCTTCTTTTTTTAACAAAAAAAATCATAAATGCAGCAAAAAAAATAATCAAACAATTGGCCAGCTCAGCTGTTCCACATTTGTTGTGCTACAAAATATTCTGCTTTTCCTCTGGTGAAGCAGGTTCGGGGGGGAGCATTGCATTACAGCTTACTAATATGGCACTTGTGTGGAATATAAAATCCAGGCTGCTGTGCACCTTCGGTGGCCCTGCTGCTAAACGGGGCAGGCAGTCTGGTGACAAAGGACACCAAAAAGGCCAAGGTACTCACTGCCACCATCTTCCTGGTCTTACTGGTAAGAGCAGCCTTCAGGAACCACAGGCCCCTGAGACCGGGGGGAAGTTTGGAGCAAGAAGACATACCTTGGTGGACGAGGACCAGGTTGGGGAATAAAAGTTCCACCTTTAATACAGTGACCCCAAAACACTTGACCCGGGACTGCAGAATTCAGGCAGGTTTGTTTTCTGTTGTGTTAACCAAATGATGGAGTTGAGAAATGATCAGATTTTATTACCTTTTATTTGACTTCCTAGAACAAGTTCCCTTGTAAGAATGAGGCTTCCTTTTTTCCCAGAACACTGAAATATTTTCTGCATGATTACATGGTGAATTTGTAGACTCCTCAAAGAGTCTCTGAATCCTTCAAAACACCTGGCACAAAAAAAAAGATTAAAAATATTATATTGCTTTTAACTTGTTTAAGTTTAAGGCTTAAAATGTGATATTGCTCAGGCTGCGAACTCCACGTGGATTTGATTTCACAATGAAATCCTAATAAAAATTCTCCTTGCAGCTCGCCTTTAAATACAACTAGGTGTGAAATTTTCCTCGCCCAGCCCACAGCCAGGGTTACCAGCAGCAATAAGGCCAATGGTACAACCACTGAACTGAACGTGTATACGGATATACACACTCTGTGTGTGTGCAATGCACACACTGTACACTAACACCATGACAGGGCTGTTCCCACCAGCAGTTGCTTTATACCCAGAAGGATGATTATTCTTACTTCTAACCGTGATCATTACTTTAATGCCGTGTACGGTAACTGAAGTATATTATCTTATTGTCCAAATAAATACCTTTCCGGATCCTCCTAATTTTTTAATGTCGGCTGTGCCTTCTGGAGGTGACTTGCCCAGTTAAATGATGTAAACTTTTCCCAAAGCCTTTCAGATATAAAGGACTGCTCTCTCAAGACCACTGAATGCAAAACCCGTTCTTTTCAAATATTCTTTAAAAACAAACAAACAAACAAACAAACAAAAAACCCCGAAAAAAACCAAAAGCAAATAACCAGCATACTCACTTTATTGCCACGGTATGTTACTTGTATATTACTTTTTCATGCACTGTTTGTACCAGCTGGGGTTCCTCCAGTCTTTCTTATTTTGGTATGGAAACTTTACCTACATTGACAATATGTTTTATCACCCGTTCAGCCTCCTTTTCCTACATATTTTTTTTTATTATTTTTCGTTACTTTGCCTGTCTTTGCCCTTCATGAGTGCTTTTCCACAGCTTTATTAGACCTACCGGCACAGGACCCATCTTTTGTCTTGGCTCATTTGCTGCTCTCTGCTCTGAGGACAGAGGACTGGTCCCTCTCTGTCCCAGCTCCTCTCCCATTGAGACTGGGATTTCTAAGCCTCGTCAGCCTGCACATCTTTCCAGCGCTTTGCGGGTTTGTGCTGATCCCAGCCCAGCATATGGACCTGGCACAACCTGTAACTGTCTCCGTCAACAGCCAACGCGGCCTTAATCACAGGTGTAAGTTTTTGCAGAAAGTATTCAGAGAAAAACTCATTCGGAAGTCCCCATCTGAATGGACAGTGTCATTCTGAACACATTTAATAGATTTATTAAATTTAAAAGAACATAGAAGTTGTTAAATTCTTTAGAAACCAAGTCATTACTGAGACAAGGTGCTTTCTTCTCCATCAGCTTTCTGCAAATGTTTTTCTGTTTAGTCAGTAAATGAAAAATAGGAAACCTTATCCTCAGGTGGTTGTGTCCTATACCCAGCTCTCACTGGGCTGAAAAACAAATCTCATCGATCCTTCAGATCACAAAAAAACTCAGCAGTTAGTATTAATGACCTTTTAAAAGCTTTTAAGGCAAGTTTTCACAAATATATAACTAAGACATTTGCTTTGACTCTTTAATAGTTTATGAAAATGTTGTGGCTGAATATATTTCCTACAGCTTCCTTTGTGTTTCACCATGGGGCCCATTTCCACCCCATGGGAAACCACAGGGTGCTAATGGCAGCCAGGGTGGCCCCGGATGACCCACAGGACGGCATCTAGGCCACCCCACTTCAACCTCCAGTCCACCAGGGATGGACAAACATCCCTCCTGTAAAGAGTCTCACTCAGCCTGGCCCCAGATTTTTCTTTCATGGAGGAATCACCAGCTGGTGTCAAACTCCCAGGCACTTCAGTATCCAGGGCACCACTGTGACCAGCACAAGATCCTTTGGAAGACGTTTGAGCAAGCTCAGCCCACGCAGGTGGTGGTGGTCTTGTTAGAAATGCCCCAGCTTTGCATCTTGCTGCGTTCCTGATGGCAGGAATAACTTGCCGCAAGGAGTCTGGAGGAGAGTTGTGTGGTGGTTGGAAGAGTCCTGGCAGAAGTACGTCCTTCCAGAGCTGCATCAGTTTATGCACAGCCAACTCTGCAGCAACGCCGTCATGCAGAAGTGGGAAGTGAATGCTGCAGAGTTTGTATTAATTATTCAGCAGCTTCTGTGCAATGAAAGACAAAAGCAAAAATGGTGTAAAAGTAGAGGAGACCTCAGATGCTTTCCCTGCATGGAGCAGGAAGGGCAAAAGCTGTGGTCCTCAAGCATCAGTAGCCTGGTGCATCATGTCCGGGAGATCCAACCAGCGCTCTTCGGCGCTTTGCAGGTATGAATATCAACCACTTCTAGGCAGTCCTGGCAGCGCACAGCACAACACCAGTGGAATTTGCACTCGCATTTTGTCATTCTGCTGACACGGGAGGTGTCGTAGCCTCTCCCGCAGCACATCACTTCGCAGCTGTCCATGCCGCGGGAGGTTTGGTTACACACCCGACCGGCTGTCCCGAGGGACCCTGCGAAGGAAACACAGGAAAGGTCAGGAGGTGAATTTTAAGGAAAGACAGAAAGCATATGAAAACAGGTATAGGAAATATAATTTGCAATGTATTAGATCCTTCAACATCATATCATCTGGGATTCAATATCAAGCCAGAGAAATGCTTATAATAAGGTAAAATTTCACTCAAATTCTCAAATTTTTTTCTGGAAATCTGCTTTGGAGATGAGGAGGAGTAAAATTAACCAAATACTTCAAGGCTCTGCCCGATTCTTTTAGTATCATCGTGCTTTGCTTCATCTTTCCGTAGCACCTCTTTCCTCTCCAGGGAGCAGATTCCCTCCCCGGGACAGGCGTGCAGCCCCCTCCTGCCCCCTGCGTCCAGTCCTCCCGGGCTGTGTGAAATGGGGCGCCCGGGAGGAGCACCCCACCGGTGCTCGGGAGCTCACAGGCTCTGCAGAGAATCTCTGGGTGGGCAGAGGAGGGCCGGGAATGAGGAGACTGCTAAACTTGGTGGCTCCAAGGGACACGATGGGCAGTGTAACGGTGCTGCCGATGGTTGAAGTCTTTGCAGGAGCGAGCGCAGAAGTGCCCCAACTGCTTGGCATCGCTGCAGCGTCCACCCACGGCCCCCGTGCCCACCAGTTCAGGTGGCAGCTGAAGAGTGGCTGCTCTGTGCCACCTCTCATCTCTGCGGGGTAAGCACAAAGGGTTCTTCTCCTCTTTCTTGACAGAGGTTAGAAGAAACTAATTAGCAGCCTGCTGTGGGCAAAAGGATGGGTAAGGGAACACCCCCCCACCTCTTCCTGTTCTTAAAATCTCTCTGGAGCAGCCAAAATGCCTCTGCCCATCTCCACGTGGCACAAAATGGCTCTTTAAGGCATGTTACCATGCCACATAAGCACTGCTGCTCATCTCATACCAACTTATCTTAGAGTACACTTGAGCATCTACACTACAGCTGTTGACAGATTATTATTATCATCCATCTGAAAACTTCATGAATTGCTTCACCTAATTTCTTATGTATTGCTATTATAAATCAATTACAGGTATAGCCATGAGATGAACATTGTTCTGACATTTTCCCTAGACCTGATTATAGCTCCATTTTTCTGTTCTTGGCCAAAATGAGATTCCCTATTGACTGTGGTCATTAAATTAAACATTGTTGAAACATTTTATAAAGTGTATTCACAGGTGTACATCAAGCACGAACAGTTTACCTTCTTAAAGAAAAAAAAATACATGCAGACATTAATTCAAATTAGCAAACCAATCTTCATTAATAAAAATTAGGCTGTATTAGCCTGTAATTATGAAAAATCTAAGCTGCATAATTATCTTTTTTTTTCCCCCTATGGTGTACATATGGTTGTAGATGCCACCATGGCTGTATTCAGCACTTTACAATGTACAAGTATTCCTTGTTCCTCTGTCCTCTACTGTCCCCAGCATCAGGGAGACTTCATGTCTTTTTGGGCCCGGGCCCAGAGGCTGAAGCAGCGAGTGGCCTCAGGTACTTGAGTAAAGTCACCTTCTCAGGCTGCAGTCTGACATGTGACTGACACACAATTTAAGCCTCTTAGCTACAGTGGGGGAAATGTTGTTCTTCTTGCATCTAAGGCAGGATAGGCTTCAACTGCTGCCCTGGAGGAGCGTTTCGGTTGTAGAATCGTAGAATTGTAGAATCATAGAACAGTTTAGGTTGGAAAGGACCTTGAAGATCATTGAGTTCCAACCCCCCTGCCCTGGGCAGGGACACCTCCCACTAGACCAGGTTGCTCAAAGCCCCATCCAGCCTGGCTTTGAACACCTCCAGGGATGAGACACCCACAACTTCTCTGGGCAACCTGTGCCAGTGTCTCACCACCCAAGAAGTCCCTACAAGTCATCTCAGCCTTCTCTCCCATAGCCTATATTCCTGTATTTATTTAAATAGTCATTGGGCCAGAGGTAGAACTATACACCTGGAAAGCTTCAATATCAAATCGCTGGTCCAGGTCTGCTGGGAGCAGAGCAGAAGGGCGTTGCGTGGCTGCTTGCCCCCCGCGCTCAGCGGGTGCCCGTGGCTGCCTGCCCCAGGAGCCACTTGCTGGCTGCTGGCAACAGCAGAGACACCAGCCCTGGCTCAGGGGTCCTGAGCTACAAAGGTGCTGTGGCACTGACCAAAGACCTGCTGAGCCACCCGAGAGGGAAAAGGCAGAGGGAGGAGAAGACACATTGAATGGAGCCAGTGATGGGCTCCTGCACCAACAACCTGATAAATCTCAGACCTCCTCAGGGTCCGAGCCTGCTCATCCTTCTGCCTGTAGACCAGCGCTCTGCGCAGCATCCTTGGGAAGGCAGCTGAACACCACTTTAAAGTCAAGTCCTCAACCCAGGACACTCTGCTATTTGTAGAGCACCTCACATCGATGTGAAAAACAGTGATGCGTTGCCTCAGGCATGCCCCGCACCAGGAACTGGCAGCAACTCCTGGTCTCCTGTCCCCACAGCTGGTAACGGCATCTGAATCCCATCCCATTCAGGGCATCCTGGGGAAGAGGAGGAGAAGAGGTCCCACCATCAATGACCTAGATGGGTCACACCAGCCCTAGCAAGCCCTCTGCCACGTAGCTCTCCCTGCAAGGCCAGATGCACTGGGACAACCTGCACGATGGGCAAAGCAGTGATGCCAAAAGGTTTTTCCCAGATCCTTTTTCCCGGAATTGCTCCACACTGAGCGAGAGAGACTTCCAGTGGCCCCTGGCACCCCTCATCTAGGCGGGGACAAGGGCTCAGGAGGATGCAGAGCTACCTGAGCCAACTGCAGTCCCGTAGGAAAGCGAACCAAACCCTGCTTCCCAGCTGCCACTTTCTCCCCCGTCCACAACGCTGCGCAAACAGCTGGCACACCTCCACGTAAGTGCTGGTGCTTGTGTCAGCCCACAGCAATATCCATCGCATCCCAGATCGTGCAAAATACAACTGAATAACCACTTTTGTAGGGGCCTGTCTTGCCTTCTCTGCTCAGACCAAAAAAAAAAAAAAAAGGTACGAAGGCCAAGCTTGTGACTGGCATGATTAATGTCCTGCATTAGGAATTTGGTGTGAATTTGTCCTGCTTACCTCCCTGCACAGGCTCACCCACTCCTCCCTGGCTCTGGGTGCTGCTTTACCCCGCTGACGGGGAGCAGCCCCCGAAGTCCCGGAGTGCCTGGGCTGCCCAACGCAGCACGCCAAGGACAACGATCTCCAACAACCACAATTTGGGGTAGATTTCAAACCGCTCAGTGGTTTTGGTGCTTTGCTTTCTGATTGTGGTTCATGTGAAACAAGGTGGACACTGGATTGCCTTCGCGTGGCGGCCAGCCAGGTGTCACTCCTCCAGCGGAGACAAAGCAAAGCCACTCTCCACCTCAGCGCACCTCCTGACCGGGAGCAGAGCAGGGCCATGCCACGGGGCTCCCAGGGTGGAAGGAAGACCCCACGTGCCCCTCCACGTGAGGACAGGCGCAGGCCATCACACCCGTGGGTGATGAGGTGCAGAAGCTGCTCCGGGAAGGTCTGACCGCATTCCTCAGCCAAGGCACAGGTTAATTTCCAACTCCAAAGTTCTCATTTCCAGATGTTGGGGGAAACTGCACAGCAGCAAAGGAGAACCTGAGCAGGATACACCCCTTGGTTTCAATGGGAGTTTTGCCACTGACTTTAAAACCAAAATTATTTCATCCCCTAACAGCTAGTCAGAAGCCGGTATCATCTGATACTGCCCACAACACGACATCGACATTGACCACACCACTAGGAGAGGAGACTAAATTATCCACAGAACGTGATGAAAGAGAGAACAGGCTGATGTAAAGGCTTAGTGTTGGAGAAAAATCAACGGTTTTCAAAAGTCCAAACAGCATCTTCTGAATCTCTGCAGCTTCTCTCGTGAGAAAGAAAATGAAGAATAACCGAAAAATGAAGAATAACCGACAGCGAGCAGCCAGGCAAGGTACTGCGCTCCTTGGTGGGCACTCACGTACCTGGGTGATGAAGACAACAGAAGACACTAAACAAAATAAGGCAGAGTTTTCTGAGCTTTGCCGGCTAATGCACCTCCTCATCACTTAAGAGGCAGGAGTGTGTTCTAACTTGCAAAAGGTTTTCATGCGACCTCTTTGTTTTCAGTTCAAGTTTCGGAATTGCCATGCCGACACACAACATTATACCTGCCAAAACATCCACAACTTTTAACACTGCCAACTTCACGGCCCGTACATCAAACTCTTCCTTCTCGGTTTGCACAGTTGTTTTCTTAAGCAAACATACAGTAAGTTGACAAATATTTTTTCCCATTCCTAAAGCACCAAAATGAATTTATTCCTTTATAACGTGAGAATCCCCCTTCTATTTCTACTGATTAAAAATCTGGCTTCAAGCAATAAAGTTCATTATTTGACTTTCACTTATAAAAAAAAAAAAAAAGCAATGAAATGCCCAACAACAAAAAACTAGTTTCCAGATAAGCATTTTGGGGAAGAAAAAAAAAAAAAAGGAAACACAGAAAAGTAGCTCTGAAGCTTCTTGTTGAATCAAGAAAGATTCACGTGTTCACGTGGAACCTACACACAACACCCCAGTACAGCAGGGCTGGAGAGGACAGGCAGCGCACACCCGAGGCAGCCTTGTCGTGGAGGGGCTGGGATTTCCCAGGCCGGTAACGAAGAGACAGCAACGTGCTGATAAAAGCAGCTTATCCAGATTCGATTTAGAGTAAAGATGTGTCTCGCTCTAATTTCCAGAGCCACTGATGGCTGTCATAACCTCTCAGCTCCCAGAGGCTCTTGGGGCGATTGCGCTGCTCCCACGCTGGCCGGTGTTCGGAGAAGAGCTGCCCTGATGGCAGTCATTGCAAGCTCCATCATCAGCTTGCGCAGGGATGGGACTGCACCCAACATGTTTGCAATGTGTAAATGGGGAGATACGGGCCAAGAAGTTGCAGAGGGACTGCCTGTATGCGGCTAACCTCAGTGAGAAGGTTTTGACATAGATGAAGGTTGGTTTCTCTCCATGGGTTACATACCTCAAGCACTAACACATGTTGCCCAACACCAATTCTTCACAGGCTATACTTTAGGTTCACATTTTTCTTTCACTCTGGACTTGGCCTCACTCATCTCAAAAATGCAGAAAATGGCTTATGTCGGGCAGCGAGGGAAATAATAAATTAACAGAAAAATAATCCTGTGAAGGACCCGAAGCAGGTCACCTCGGGCATGTGGTTTGTCACCCAACGCGCAGCTGCAGGGGGCTGCCCATGGCACTGTGCATGCATCTCTGCAGTGCTTTCCACTGGGACACCACGTGTGGAGGGTCCTCAGCCACAGCCACAGCACCCCGTCTGCCTGTTGGAGACACAGGAGATGGCCACCACAATCCAGGTACGCAACCCACACCTTATGCACAGGCAGAGGCAGCGACACTGGCTATGACAGTGCCCAAACCAGGACCATGCGAGTGTCGGAAGAAACCTACATATAACTTGAAGCACAGGGCACAGGGATTTGCAGTAGGTCCTGAGGGACTGCTGCAGCAGCCTGAGACCATCTGCGCGGAGACACAACCTTCACCACCACCTTCACACAGCTGAAGCCTTGTTGCTACCGGAGCAGTCGCAAACAGTCAACACGTGCTCACCAATGCCATCCTGCCACTCGCCCACCACCTCCACCTTGGTGTCCGTGTTTGGGAACACAACCTCTCCTCTCCATATGCACCACCTCAATGTGCGTAGCTGATCTCACCTTGCTCTACACTTCGGTGGGGTTCTCCATGCAGGAAAAAGCTTCACCCAAACACTGCCTAAGTTTGTTTGGTTGCTCTGTACAAAATAATTTTTAATAAACCTGTTCTGAAATATTTTCTGTTGCAGGAAGGCATTACACTGCTTTAATAGTCTCTATGAACAACAGCCCGTAACGAGGGCTTGGCCAGCAAGCTGGTGATGCCCACGCTATGGCTGCTCCTATGTTTATTCTGAAAGTAGTCTCTGCTTGTCCACCGGTACATTCAAAACATGATAAACTTACAACAGCTTTCAATCAGCCTAGCCTGCGTGGATGGTCAAATAGTGATCTTTTAAAACTTAAATTGCTTCTAACAGAAACTTATAAGCAGACAAGCAAGAGGGTTTTTTTTAGAGCATTTTGGAGGCAAAGAGTGGGACTTCCACTTGTGTAGCTGTCACTTTAGTTCCCTTCACAGCTTGAGCATTTCTAACAAACAGGTGCGGTCCTGGGTATACTCGTATTGGTTTGGGGAGCTGGAAATTCATGATAACATAAGGGAAGACCAGGCAAAGTGTGGCAAAATTTGTAAGTTCACGACAAGATTTTCAAAAGCCCTCTGGGATGTCCTATCTCTGTTTCTATCAAATTATGAGTACAAAATTGTGAGTAAAAATTATTTCAGCATCCATGGGAGCAGAGTTAAGTGAATTCTGAACACTTCTGAAAAATCTTCCTTTGGTTCTTTTCTAAAAGTCATGACATCTTAATGCTAGACAAGAGGTGGTCGGGCTATTATGTTCTCTGGCTATTGAGTCGCTATTAATGATTTCCACCTGTTATATCTCTCCCAAAATCAATTAGTCCTCTTTTGCTTCTAGGAAAAAAAAAAATAATAATACCACATTTTTCACATTGTAGAGGTGATCCATGCATGTATGTCCAGCTACATCCCCTAGACAGACTGCCAGTCCCAGTGGGTGTATTCAGTCCCAGCACCCTCCGGTGGCTGTCCCACCACCAGAGAGAAGAGTCAAAGCTCAAGAGAAGAGTCAAAGCTCCGATGGCAGAAGACAAGTGAGGTATGTGGGTTTTTGGATGGGCCACTGACGGTACAACACTGGAACACCTTTAGTTTACTGGTTGGTGTGTGTTAACACACCCAAGCCACAGAGAACATTGGCTTGGTCGTTTTACAGTTTGTGAAGCTGTCTCCCGGTCAAGCCACGACGCTTCGTAAGGTTTGCTCTAGGAATCCTTCATTCAGTCCCAAGACGAACTAATCTCCAGATACTCTTTTTTTTTTTTCTTTTTTTTCCTGTAGCACTAAATTGCTTGAATTCCCCAGAGAATGAAAGGCAGAATTGGATTCAAGGACATCCTAAAGCGCTCTGGTATTACATTTAGCCGACACCGAGGTGCTCCCCACCTTTTTCAAACCTCAGACTTCCATCATCTCATTTCATTTCCAGTCATTTAACAGGGCTGACACTCCAGAGCGCTCAAGGGGGCAAACCAAAGGGAATAAAGAAAAAGTGCTGCTCAGCTGCTGAAATTACCTCTCTCAAAGCCAGATCAGTTCTTGTTTGTCTGATTCTTTCTCTGCTCCAGACGAGCGGCAGGGCAGCCCGTTAAAGGTTTACTGCAGCCTGCCAAAAATGTGCTCTTCCAAACAACCGCATTCTCTGAATTCTGGGAGGCAGAGAAACACTGCCTCTTCCGCAGCCTTATCTTGAGCTGAGCCAAAGCACGTGTCAGACTCTGCCATCTCTGGGCAGGCTTGACAGCATCAAGCAAACACACGTAACACACTGCAGGAAAAAATGCCCATTCTCCTCCACCATAACAAGACCAACAGACGAGATTAGGTTTAGTGCAAAGAGATTATCAAACAGCTTTTTGACATAGAAGTGGGTTGCGTACAGGCTCTCTTTTGGGGGGGAATGAAATCACAGTTTTTACCACGAATGAGGCAACTTCAAGAAACAAAGTTTTGAATAAATTGTAGTCTGCAAAGTCAGGCTCTGCACAACGCCATAAAATGCCCATTTATTCACTTGGATTAAAGTATTAGACTTTACAGTGTTGGTCACTATTCAAGCTATAATATGTGCTTGTGCAGGTAACAAGCATCATCTACGAAAGCCATAAATAACATATAAAATTACCTTGACTACTCAACTAACCAGAAACACCATACAACATAAGCGCACTGGATGAAATTCTGGGTTGACTGAAGTCAATAGTACACGACCAGGATTTCACATATTGTTCTTATTTAAGTACAGTTGTTTTGCAGTGCTCACTCCAAGTAAACTTGGATAGTAAATAGGCAGTGGTGCCAAAAAGGGTTGAGCTGCATTGCTATCCAGATACTTACGGATATGTCATACCGGGTGCAATCTGGTACATTATACAACCTATTAATTAGTTCCACAGCATCTTTCATACATTAGTCACTCTGGCTTTCTTTTCCAAACCTTTGGTTTTCTAGTTGCTAGTTTTTAATTGCCACATCAGGAAACACTATACACAGGTCAGGAACCGTTAGCAGGATTCCTGTTGCCTGGCAATGCCTCGAATCCTTTAACGTTGTTAAGTGTCTCTATCGAAATCTCCGAAAGCAGAAAAAAGTCAGTGTTAATAGCAGCCCTGAAACTTTACCTCTTCCCACTGGGGCTGGCAGGACTCTTCAGAAAATGTGATGGTTATCATGGACGGAGCCAACACTGTCTCGTAAAGAGGAATAAACAGCTGTGTCACTCAATGCAGTGGGCTGTGTCCCACCAACCTCTATTCTTTCAACCATCTGCACGTCCTCCAGCTGCCTTGCACCACATTACCGACAGCTGTGTTCAAAGAATCACAGAATGGTAGGGGTTGGAAGGGACCTCTGGAGACCATCTAGTCCAACCCCTCTGCCAGAGCAGGGTCACCTACAGCAGGTTGCACAGGACGGCATCCAGGCGGGTTTTCAATGTCTCCAGTATGGGAGACTCCACAACCTCTCTGAGAAGCCAGTGTTGACTGGTGCAAGCGTGGTTTGCACCAAGCTGCTGTACCTCCTACATTACCAATGGGGAGAGGTGTGTCTACATCTAGAGGTTCCTCCATCCACAGTGAGCTGCAGGGAATGTGCCAATAAAGGAGGACACTGGTCTCTTGGGAGTCTGCAGCAGCAGTGTAACAATATGGAAGAGAAGCAAAGCAACAGGAGGTGGTATCACAGGGATATCACAGGACTTGGGGCTGCTGTAGTTAGATTTGGCAGCTCTGGAGCAAGCTGTGTGATACAAGCATGTATGAGGCGACATACAGTACAGACCTGCCTCCAGACTGTAACTCGAATTTGTCCCAAAAGCAGCTTTTGCCTTGCAGAGTCTCCAGGGCTCCATAGCATCTGGAAGAAACTGCTGAATTATGTTAGAACAACTGGCCGTCCTACATCTAGGGACATCAAGGAGCTATTGTTCTAGTGTAGACCCGTCCTTCCAAAACATCTTCCTGCCTGTTGCCTGCTGGTTACATGCATGGATTTATATATAAATATATATATATACACACACACTCTCTCAATAATAATGATAATTTTTGACCGTCAAGGTACAAATGTCTGAAATAAAACCATTCACGTGTAATGATAGAGGCTTACCTACATCCCTGTCCCTGATACAGTAGTCTGGAGAGCTTTCAAAGTATACCAGGTCATTCTTAGTTGGCTTCTTAAATCTCTTATTAGCCACAGTGAAACCCGTGCCATCTTGATTCATGACCACCTGAATCGCTCCATTGTATTTCTTCCACAGATAATCTCCTGTTTTCCTAAAGTCTGCCATGGCCAGCCAACAGGTCCTTAGAGTGCATGATCCACTCACACCGTGACATTTGCACTCCTGTTTCAAAAACCGCTTCACGGCCTGTTTAGAAACGCAGTAAAATACACACAGGTAAAACAAACTGTAATTTATGCTTCTCAGCTCTTTTCCATTCATCCTGTAATGCCAAGTTTGCAGTGGGTCTCCAAGTCACGGTCTGTAGTGACACCCACTGGTAGCATCAAGTCATCCCCACATGGTTGGTCCGCTCTGGTTGCTTGACTCAACCGTACACACAATCCTCTGGCTGGTGGGCTGCCCTTCCATGCTCCTGCCAGTCAACCCCGAGGACTGGGATGGTCCATAACGCTGGGACACAGACTGGACAGTAGGAAACGATCTGGGAAATGGACAGAATCACTCAGCCCCTTGGTAGGCGAAGTACACTGTTTCCCCATCGTTCCAGCACCGCCACGCCAACCCTCTCTAGCCCACCTTCATGACATTGCCCTGTGCCCTGAATAGTCTTTCAAATATTGCCTAGAAATTCACAGGCATTTCATATTAAAATAATTTTGCAGAAGCTGTGCGAAGCATCATACCAGGCATCAGACCTACGCAAAATTTTAAAATACAGTATTTTTAAAATGCTTATAAACCTTTTAACAAACATTTTGGAATAGGACCTTCATCACTTCGCACTGGAGAGACCACCCTCATCATTAATTTAACGACTGAATAGCATTAAAGCCATTTCAGCTTCCTCTCAGACATTTAAGCTATCTGTATGGGGTTGGAGAACAACAGATGGGTTCATATACAATAAATAATTAATTCCTAATTCTGAAGATATGGGTATTTGGTCTATAAATATTATGCCTTAAGGATTCATGAAATATGAACATTTTAAAGTTTGTACAACAGGAACAGTATCATGGGAGGAAGGTAAGGGAGAGGAAGGCTCCATGATTTGGAGGGAACATTTTTCAGTCAAGCACTTAGTAATAAAGTGAGAATTTGTTGTAAAACCAAAGTACTTCTAATTTTCTTTCTTTCCAACTTGTAAAGGATTTGACTGCTTCAAAGAAGTCACTGACGTTCCCACAGCCCCACTTTTTTGCCAATGGTACTACGGCAGAACTGGGATTCTGCTCAGAAAGGGATTTAGGCGCATGCTTGGTTTTGATTACCTGAGTAGAAATAAGTTAAATTACTTTTTTGTTTAAAACAACTTGCTGGAGTCAGACATGGAAGAGCAGAAGCAGCACACAGGGATGCAGGACTTGGGTTAGGGTTTTTTTTCAGTGATGTTCCTGTACTGATACACAGCATATTGCTTCATATGATTCATATGGGATTATTATAAATACTTACATAATGTATTTATAAATTAGTAAAATCTTAATTAAAGAATCTGTTAAAAGAAACCTATCAACACAGGCTTCTCCTTTTCGGGGTGGGAAAAAGCCAAGGGCACATCTGGGCTTACCCAGATGCCGATGCCAGGCTTGTGGGTGGGCTGAGGTAGCGAGGTCCCCGCAAAACTAAACCTACACTGTTGCACTGGGGATAAAAAAACAGCATCCCTTTCTATAAAGCAGCTCCTAAAGCATATGAGAATGTGGTGTTGATTATTTTGAATCAAATACATTTATTAACGCCTCTTTATCGTTTTTCTAAAAAAAAACCCCCAACAACACAAACTATCTGCTTAGCAATACTGTCTTATTATTTGGCATATATATATATATATTTCTAAACTTACTAAGATACTCAACTATTTCAGAAAGCACTTCCCAGCACGGAGCTAATTCACCCCTACAAAGTCTTTGCTTGTGTTGTAGACTGCAGTCGCTTTTGGACAGGAATATAAATTCAGCCATAGTATCACAGATCTGAATAGCCTCATCTGTCTATATTACATATTAATTACACCTGCCAGTAATAAACAGGTGGAGGAAAGATGTTGAAGTAGAAACATTCATCAGAGAAAAACATCTGCTTGCAGTGCAATTCATTAAAATTGGATCTTTTCCTCTAGCAAGGACTAGTGAATACAGAACAATTTTACAGTTTAAGGGGAACTTTTTAATACAAAAAGATCATAATATGAACAATTTACTTCCTACTGAATAGACGTTAAGGAAAACCAAAGACAAGAAACAAGAAGGCTCTAGGAATCATTTTAGAAGTGCCTGGTCTAGCACTGAAAAATAGTTTTTCTGTATTATTTCAGATGCTGTGGGCGCAGCAAATTTTGAATATGTTTTGAATAATGAAACGGTGTATTCCAGTTTCATGCACTATTCTTACTATTTATAGCTACCACCACAAAACGCTGGGGCACGTATTCCTCAGCCCTTGCACCAGCAGCGGGCAATACGCCTGGCAACTACTCCTTCTACTCACCTACAATAAAAAAGTAAAGCCTCTTTTGGTTGAAATTGAGGAATGGTATTTTCATAGAACGTTTAGAAAAGGGGGTTGGTTCGAGCAGGTCATGCCCCACAGCCAGCGCCTTTTGGAGGGACACGTATTTTGGATTTATTTTCTTAAAAAGTGAAGTAATTGTATTTTATCTCTGCTCATTCTGTGTTTAGGTTTACCGTATACATAGAGGAATAGCCAGGATGGGTTTTTTTCTCCAATGCTGTCCTGAATTTGCTTTTTAATAGTCAAGCCTGATCTTCAGTGTGGTCTTCGGCCTCCCTTAGGTATTTCTGTTCTGTATTAACCAAAAGTAAAACTCCTCCATATATAAGGATTAGGCTCAAAACAAAACCTCCATCCAAACCGATCCTGCAACGCCTCGGGCTCGGGCTCAACTTCCCACACACGGAGCCGCTGAGCTGACTCCGACGGGAGCACTGTTCAGCCGTTGCACTCGGCCTGTTTGGAGATCCCTGCCACCCCGAACCTCCAAAGGAGACAGAAACAGCCTCTCAGGCTCCTGCTCATCCCCCACTTCTTCCTAACCACGGACACCAGTCAGCGAGGGCCGACCAGTACCTGCCCCAGACCCGCGAGAGCTCACCGAGAGCATCTCCAGGCACCTGTTGGATGGACACCCACCTTCCTCCCAGCTCTGTTGTTGTGAAGGTTCATCAGCGCTCTCGCATCTTTTCCTTTCCGTTCTTTGGCATCTACGAAGGCTCTGGCAAATTTAATGCCGTAGTCGATGTTGTCGCTGCAGCCACCCCAGTCAAAATGGCCCCTGCTGTCCCTGGCAGAGCCTTTCTTCTTGGGATCGCAGGAGCAGGATTTCAGCTCCCCTTGGCTACATGCCCTGGTGATGGCAAAAACCACTCCAGCAGAGGAGATGGCATGTACAAAAGCAGATTCCCGACTACCTGAAACAAAAAAACAAACAAAAAAGTCGCTTTAAAAATCATTGGGGTAGTTATAGTTAGCTTGAGTGGCTATCCTAACTCCAGCCACGCAGCCTGGACTTTTTTTTTGCTGAGCAAAAGATAAAACTGGGCTGAAATCACACGTTCCCTGGAGCCAGAATTAGTCATGGCTTAAACTTGGACCCCTCCCTGGTAAAAGCTCATCAATATAGTGTTAGAGTTGGAAAACATTAAACGTGTGCTTCTGATATTGATTAATATACCTTCACGGATCAGTTGTTCCGTACAGATACGTGAATCGGACAGCTGGTATTTCTCTTGTGTTTCATCGATTTAGGAAAATATATGAAGTGCTATCTCAGAGATAGGTTTAAGAAATTATTAAATAGGGACACTGGAACAACACGTACATTGCAACATACTGCAAATAGCTCTAGAAATCAGCTTTTCCTCTTCTGAAGCACTCAGAATAAACTGCTCAAAAGGTGGCAGGGAGAAGTCTTGGGTGTTAGTTTCTGCAAATAAGTTAAATTTAGGTTTTCTGCCTAGAACCAAGCCCGGTAACCGTAATCCATACAAACAAGTTCCATTAAATCAATGGCACTGCTTGTGTCATTCTTGAGGCAGGATTTGCCCTGGCAGCTGTGACTTCTACACGCCAGCTGTGAAGGCAGTTTTCCCTTCTCTTAACGAAGATACTTTATTATACCAAAGATTATTTGCATTTCTAGGCTGTGCTTACTCCCAGGCTATCGGGTACATACTTCAATGCAGTAATTGCTTAAGTTTAAGATGCAGTAACTTACAATACAGAGCGATCTTATATTGGTACAACTGTATTTCATGGTAATGGGATATTTTAATATTTTTAAAGCTTTTTTATCATGGAAAAAAAAGAGTGAGGAGTAGTTTTTTGTGCCGTACCTAAGGCCACTAGCAGTGAGAGACCCCTGTTGGGAGGAATTATAAGCCTTAAGTAATATTAGCATAGTGAAGTAGAACCCCAAAGAGGGAATGCTATCTGTGATTTTATTGTAGGGGCAGCATTACGCTCTACAACTTATTATTTAGTATTTATATTCCAGTAGCATCTAGATGTTTCAAAGAGGAAGGGTCCTAGACTTCGGCAAACCTTCGGCAAACGGCAAGTAAAAGCTTGGAAAAGGGCAAACCCTGCCTT